AGCCCCTTTAGGCCCTGCAAGGGGCTCTCAGCTCTTCCTGGAACCTTCCCTTCTCCAGGTGAACCCCCCCAGCTCTCCCAGCTGAACAGCAGGAGATGCCAAGTGGGCACCTACAGGCACAGGGGGGACAAGCCTCCCAAGTTGGCTCCTCACACTCTTCCATCCTGAGCTAAAACACAAACTGTGAGGAACTGAGGGCTCCCCTCTTCCAGAAGGTACCAGCAGCTGAGATACCACTGGGATCCCTCATGTGGAGAAACCAGAATATAGATAAAGGTGTGTACAGATATACAGATATCATATCATGGTATAGAACTGTCTCAGTGGGAGTGTTTCCTTTAGGAAAAAGAAAGGGAAAGCAGACAAACCACCGGAGAACAGCTGGGTAACAGAGATCCCCAAATCCCCCTGGTTTAGCCTGATAAAAGAGGGGGTTTGTGCAGCTCCAGAGGCAGGGGGGGAGGTAAGGATGGGCCCCTGCACATCCCTGTGCCAGCTGCTCTTTGCAGAAAGGATTTAGGAGAGTCCTGCAGCCCTACAAACTCCTCAGGTTTGGAATGTCACCCTGTGCCAGCTGCTGATCTCAGTTCCCATGTGCATGACAGGGAACCCCAAAACATTCTGTGCCACCCCATCACACCGGACAGTCGATACCATCCCAGAAGGTTTGGGTTGGAAGGGACCTCACAGCTCAACCAGTTCCAACCCTGACACCTTCCACTATCCCAGGTTGCTCCAACCTGGCCTTGGACACTTCCAGGGATGGGAATGGCAAGTCTTTTTTGCTCCAAAGCACAGAACTTCACCTTCCCAAGGTGATAGAGCACCTTAAAATAAAGAGAAAGGGCTAAATCTGCTCTGTCTGAAGCACAAAGGAATCACTGGATGAGCTCAGTGACACAGGCCCGTCTTTCCCCCACATCCTTCCACCTTCCTTCCTTCTCACCTCTCCCAAATCTCAGCCAACTGAAGAATAATTCTGCCCCTAACAACCACAGGATTCACCTGCCACTCTTCCCGAGATCAGATTATTTTTTAATTAAAAACTCCCTCTAAAATAAAAACGAGACAGCGGGAGGGAGAAAGAGAGCGCGAGAGAGCGAAAGGTGCTGCATTTTTAATTGGGTGCAATTAAAAACCTGCTGCCTTGGCTTGGCACTGCCTGGGGCCAAACCCTATTTGCATGAGTAATTATTCACTCCATTACCGAGTCTGCTCGACTTTGCCTCCCTTGTCTTTGAAAGTATTAATAAATATTGATCAGGCCCACTCCTGTTTGCCTTCGCCCGAGCAGCTCCGATGGACTCATTTTTTGATGTTATCAAATAATGAAATATGAAAGAAAGGGGGTGGGATGAGCCTCTTGCTCTGTGATTTTTTTTAATTTAGGCTCCTTTGATTAGCAAGGGGAGGTTGTGGGAAGCAAGGATGGGATGGGGGGAAATAAATGGACACCAAGTGAGGGGGATCTGCTCAGCGAAATCCTTTGGTTGTTTTTTATAAAGGTGAGCTTTCAAAACCAGGGAGGAGAATTAATATTCATCAGGAGCTCCTTCCATCATCTGACAAACAGGTTAATAAATAATAATATGGGATTAGCACACCTAACCAAAGAGGAAATTTAGCTTCCCAAGCTTTCTTTTGGCTTTAACGTGGGCACGTGGAAGCTGATTTACCCTACACAGGTCGCCAGCCTGGGCAGTAAGAGCTTCCAGGGCTCCAAAATGGGATACTTGGGGTGAGAAGAGATCAAAGCTGAATTTACAAATGTATTCACCTGAGTTTGAAATGTCTGAGGTTGGACAGGGCTTGGAGAAACCTGGGATAGTGGAAGGTGTCCCTGTCCATAGCAGGGCTGGGAATGGATAAGCTTTAAGGTCTTTTCCAACCCAAACCATTCCAAGGACTCTAAGAAGTCAGAAATGCAACTGATGGGAACAAACTGACCTGGGAACTCACCAGGGAAATCTTTTTGTTTGTGTGTTTATTCACTCGGTTATAATTTTATTTATATTTTGCCGAAAAGCATCGACGGGACTTGTTGAGTCGATCTGATAGGAGAGGTTTTATACCCTAAACCTGGGGCAGGTCCTTCTGGAGCATCTCTCCTCATTTCCTATGGAAATAAAGTGCTGTTTCACAAGGGCAAGGAAGCATTAATCTGGCTCCAAAACCTTTAGCTCTTCAGGCTCTTAAATCCCTGGTCAAACCCTCCACTTAAGCTCAGCTTTAGCGTCGATGGCTTTATTTTGGGGGAGTTAAAGGCTGCCTAAAATATCCAAAGTCATTAATATGCTGCTCATACAGGATGGCCAACTAGTTTTGATGGCTTGGATGACCAAGATTTGTTATTTTTTAATAATAAAATCCATCCTTCACGTGATCAACTCACGTCCCAACCTTGCCATCTGTGATCTGTTCCACTGACGGTGGGATTGGGTTCAAAGGTGCCTTCAATTTTTTGGGCATTTTTTTCAGGACAAACCTAACTTAACCCAAAGCTCAAAATGCACTTTTCCTCCTGGAACTGGCCCAGGAAGATCCACCCTGGCACGAAGAACAGCTCTGTGCTAAGAGCACACAGGGAAAGGCGAATATCCCTGGTGGAAATGCTTCCCAGGGGCAGGAAAACAAAATCCCACACCGAAGCTGAATAAAAAGCCAACTGAGCCACAAACCAGTTTGGTTTTTAAAAAGCACTTTTAAAAAAAAAAATCAAGTTGCCAACAAAGAACCCATTTTGGAAGGAGGAATTTTGAGCATATATATATATATATATAAAAATATATATATTAAAAATGGTCTCTTGAACTCTATACTTGGAGAAAGAGAATAAAAATTAAGAAGCTTTCTCACTTAGGGGAAAAAAAAACCTCTCAGGAAAGGCA